TTCTCATTAATCAATCTATTCATTTAATGATAGGCAGCTCACCTTTGCAAGAAATGCTTATTGCCAATTGTGATGCAGTTCTTCTTTAGATGCTGAGAATAACACAAGTAAAGTCTGTTCTACCTTAATATAGCTCTATAACCAAACTTTTGTTAGGTGCAGCTGCTGCCCATAGGTGGTACCTATGTAAGAATATAAGACTTTACACGGTGCCAAAACATTACAATCTCTTAGTTACAGTTTTTACATTGTGCAGATTGAGTGATTGAAATTCTCTCATGTTGGCAGTTTGGTAGACAGATTAACTCCCCATTTGTCCAGGTCACAAAAACCACCACCTCAATTGGTATTACTGTTGGTGATCTCAGCTAACAGATCAAGTGATTGTCTAAAGAGATCACAGCTGAGAGAACATCACAGAAATATGCAACAGAGGGTCCTGTGGCACCTTTAAGACTAACAGAAGTATTGAAGCATAAGCTTTTGTGGGTGAATGCCCACTTCATCAGACGCAAGCCTGATGTATTCTGTATTCACAGAAACGTATTCCTAAAGGATAAGGACAGGACAGGAGATATGGTGGCATGGTAGGGTGAAATAATTTATATTATAGAACATTAACTTTGCTTCAGCAGTTTAACAAAACTGAGATTAAATCACACATACTGAAGATAAAGCTTGTTTAATTCTTATGTACAGTCATTTTTTATCAACAGCAATGTCATTAAATCCTGAATAAAACATGTAGCTTTCTATGTTGTTTCACCTTGTTTAAAAGATAGTTAATAATATTTCTGTTCAGAGACCTTCCTTCAGTTAGACTTTTCAGATCCCAAGACATACAAGACAAATATGTAGATTTGACTTCTAACACACTATTTGTTTTAAGGAATTAAATGAAATAAGGGAACCATTTAACATCCACCCATATATAAGAGAGCAAGATTACAGATCCTTTGGTTCTCAGTTGGCGGAACTGAAATGAAGGACTATTAATAAAGTACTTTCAGCTTTGACTATAATCAACTGTAATAACAAGATAGAAGTTACAAAAAAATCTTTTTGTTGAAACCACTTTTGTAATACTGCTTTTTAATAACCCTCATAATGGCCGAATTAGAAGGACCCCAACTGAAGTCATTCATCCCACATAAAACAAACATTGCTTTTTCTTCTTAGCTTTGTTTTACAAGCTACATTATTTCCAGATGATGCTTGAGGGGCCTAAGGGTTTCAAGAATTAGATGCTTAAATAGACAGCTGCTTTCTATTTACCATATAAATCAAGGATAAATCAAAGAAGAATCTAAATAGTGGACTTCATTTACCGCCATTATAGAGCACAAGCTGAGAAAGAAAAAGAATAGAAAGAGAGAAACATCTCATCAAGCAATTACAAAGTTTTATTAAGATTATTAACAAAGGAGGAGGAAATGCAGTGACATTTGTAGAATCCTGGGCTTCCAAATAACATTAGCTCTGCACAGCAGGTAAGAAATAATTCACTAGACTGGGAATTGGCCAGGAAAAATTCAGCTCTGATCAGCAGTTCTCACAAATCCATCAGGCTTTGCTACTGGGCTCAAAATGCAGAGCTTACTTTGCTCATATTGTTTTAACTTTCCTTATTGGCTATAAAAGTAGATCAGTTCTAGCCCTTAACTAATGCAGAAACGTCACATTTTGGACTATGCTTTGGAGGATGGATCATGAGAACATTTTTGTATTTTCAAAGATGGGGTCATATGCCCCCCATATGAAAGATGCGTTGCAAAGGAACTTTCTTGCACAGTTCATATGATTTGGTCACATGACCTTCAACATATGGCACCAGAGTGCTCTAAAACACTAGGAATTTCTTGAGACTGACTTTAAAATGTGTCCAAGAAATAAATGTTTAGTAAAAGTATGTATTGAACAACTGTGTAGCTACTCTATAGATCTTGTGGGATGAAAAAAATAATATTTTGTACTTCTACAGCACCTTTCATCTGAGGGATTTCCAAATACTATATAAATAAGCCAGAGGTTTAATTGCTAGAGGGTACTTCAGGCCACTGACAAGCTTTTAATTGCCTTTGAAATGACATTTAGGCAACATCCCCAAAGATGGGACAATTTAGAACTCCAGCACCTAATTGGTATGTGTACAAGGATGTATTTCTAGGGTTCACTTTGGGAAACATCCACTTATTTTCTACCTCCCAAATATAAATGTCAAATTTTAAACTCAACTGAGTTACAGAAGTTTCCCCATGTGGCCAGTTACCAATTTACCTTGGCTGTTTGTGGAAACTTAGCCAACTAGAAGATCGATGGCTTAAATTCTCAGTGCTGGTAGTTGGCTAGTGTGAAAATAAAGGGGTAGATTTTCAAAAGAATTCAGCAGCTAGCTACCTCTGAATGTTGAGAACTTCTGGAAGTCTGACCCCAATTATGGGTGTTGGGCACTTCCAGAAGTCTGCTCCAAAAGGCCTTCAACTTGCCACTCAACATCTAAGGCCAAATACTAGTAAGCAGCAAGCAAAGCACCGGCTGCCATAAGCCTCCATCCCAGTTTTGCATATAATTGCTGTTAAAATTAACGTAGACACTGAACAAAACCAACATGACTAAATGTGCACTGAATATGCACAAGTGATGCATGTCAACTTATTAGAATAAAAAAATATTTTTCAATTTAAATTTTGTTCTTTAGTGAGTTTTTCAACTTCTACCTAAAATTAACTATTTCATAAGACTTGGGGGAGAATTCTAAAGATAAAAAAGATCTTTAATCTTAAAAACTAGATGTAATCCCCCAGGTCCCCAAACATAACCATCCCTTTCCCCCTATCTGGGGCGGAGGGGGGGGGGATGGACAGAATTCCAGGGGTCTCTTCTTAAAATCAGCACCTTTTTCCATGACGGCACAGTTAGCACCTTCCAGGCAACCAGATTAGGCCATTACAGCTATCATTCATTGGTTAAAAATGTGTGCAAGCGTTAAAATATTTTGTCCTTCTATAAAGATTTTCATTCAAACATCTCAAAGTGCTTTACATACATTAGCTATTTAAAGGCCACCAAACTTCTGTGAGATAGGTTTGATAGCTAGAGATTGATTGTGCCACTGCCACTTGAAACACAGCCACTTCTGGGCTGAAATCAGTCAAAGCAACTCTATTCAAGATTTTAGGACGGGCCATGAAGACTCCTGTAACTGAAAGAGGCCTTTGAACATGTAGCTTTACTGCCCAAAGTTGGAATTTGACAAGGCACTGAGGTTAATTACCCCAATGAAAAATTATCTGAGATGTGTAACGATGAGTGCTCAGGAATGGTTTAAAATGGCACCTCTAGCAGTGTAGTGCCCCCTTACAGCACACTGGGACATGGGTTCAGAACTGACCCAAAGGAAAGAGTACCACATATGAAGAGCACCAACCCACTGAGACCCTTGCAAAGTCTAAAGGACATCTGGTTGTCCATGCTTACCCAACTGAAAGAGCTTTTAGACTTATGTTATATTCTCTTTTAATAAAACACATGATATGGTTCTTTCCTTATGTTAAGAGGTGACTTTTTTGTTTTGTTTGTTTAACACCATGTTTTGAGTTACAAATCAGTTGATATGTTAAAGATCAGTGTGTTACTTCTCAAAAGCACAACAGACATGAATCAGAGAGTATAAAATCACTGGTGTTGTAAGAAGTTACTCCGAAATATGGCATCATAGGTGGCAAGACTAAATAGGAAAAAATGCTGATGATTGTTTATTCAATAACCTTAGCCAGCACTCTGCTTTTGAATAGCAAAATGGCATTGTTTGTGTATTGCATATAAACAACTCTGGCCAGGATATGCAAGTCAAGCGATGTTGCTAGTTAAATTAACCATTTTGAGCCACCAAAATATAACCTGTTAGATAAAAAGTAATAGTTTTAATAGATATTAGCTAGTGTGTTGAGACCACAGCCTATCGTACTGACCAATATTGTTTCCTTGTATTCCCCTATTAGTCTGTCTGTATTCATCAGTTGTCTCTTGTCTTATACTTAGGGTTTGTAGGGCAGGGACTATGTTTTTTTTGGTCCATGACTGGAGCTTCTAGGTTCTAAGATCATGCAAATAATAATAATAATAATAATAAAGGATCTTCTAAAAGGTACATAATCTTTTAAAAGCTTGAAATATGTGAAGATGGAGTTGTACAGTTTCTAATCCCTCAGAGTTTGGTTTCCTAAAACACTTACTAAAACTCAAGGTAAAATAGGGTTATATTTCCATGATCAAACATAGTAATTTATAAACTAGGAACAACATTTTTGCACAGATTTATAAAATAAAATGTAACAATGTAAACCAATATAAACCAGTGACATTTGAAAAGAATGTATATATAATACTAGTTAAGACTTGGGAAGAAGTATCTTTGTCGTATAAATTAACAGTATAGTAAACAAGAAGTTTTCTGACAGTCATGCAACCAATTTACAAATTGTTGTCCCATCTGCAGATATTGGCTTAGACCAGATGAGAAGCCATCCTTAGAAGTGTATGTGTACGCATGTTCAGAAAACACCAGTTTGGTCTACAACTTCATTTATATATTGGGCACTGCTGTTTCAAAGATGTATTAGGGTTTGTTTCAAGAGCAGATCTGCATAATATTTTAGGCCTTTTAAAATATTGGTAGATGCCAAAGAGCTTTTTTTTTTTTCAAGTATGGTTTTAACTACATCTTCCAAATGTATCTGATTGCAACTGTCTTGAAAATTGCAAGTTGACAGGCTATGGAAGGTTTCTTAGCTTTGAATAGCTGTGGTTTGTTTTGCCATTTGTAAGTATATTTTTCATTTTCTTACTAAGTTTCAGACATGATGTCATTTTGAGAGGTTCCTATATTTTGGTGTTGGTGGTTGCCTCATTGTCACACACTTTGATAAACTTTTGCAGATTTAGGGATGTTGCTGCTTCTATTTTCAGAAGTTCACTGAAACATTAAATTCAATACTCACGTAATCAGGAAGTGGAGAGTCATCTGAACTGAGGGAGCCTCTCAAGGTTTGCGTGGCTTGCTCCAAAACTTTGTTGTGTTTTTTAGACAACAAAGAAAACAAACTGAAAAAGAACACAAAAATCAAAAAAATGTTTACTATAATAAGAATTCACAAGCAACCCTCTACTTCCAGTTAGCTAGACTATTCAATTAGAAAAAACTGTCCATAATATTTCCTTGAATTGGGAGATTTAAAGAAAAATACAATGCACATCAGTTGCATGGGTAATATATGCTTTACATCTTCGGTAAGTGAGAAAGAACTTTGAATTCCATACCACAAAATATGGAGAAAGAAAGTTAAGTTTTCGTGCTTAAATATTCAAAAGTCTGGGAATAACAAAGTCAAGATTGTATGTGCAACTTAAATTCTGCTCATGTATATCCATAACAATTAAGTCTTCAAGCTCACTATCTCAATGCAATATTATTTTCCACAACCTTGGGTACATGTAGTATATTGTACATTTCCCCCCACTTTTTATGTTTCAGTTTGTTAATGTTCTAGTACATTACATTAAAAAACCCTAAGTTAATAAAGATATGTATTTTACTAATTTAGTCAGGACTCCCATACTATACATTTTCTTTTCAGGGAGCAGCAGAGACTTCTGGTGCAATTCAGATGAGGAACTGAATCACAAAGTAATTTCTCTGTGAATTTAGAGGGGCTATGTATGTCTGCATTGTTTTCTATTATTTTTAACTTCTTATACTTTGGGTGGAAATTTCAAAATCATCTAAGTTACTTACATCATCATAAAAAGTCCCACTAAGGACATTCCCTTATGCTCCTAAGTCACTTTGGATCTTTTAAAAGTCCTGTGCTTAATCTTTACTAATTGGGGTAAGCACTGTGTATTCCCCATATATTTTATTTTACATGCACTACCTGGCATACATAGTACTACAAGATGCTAAACAGATGCATTAAGTCTGAAGAAAAATGTAAATTATGCAGTCCGTTACTGTATAGATTCATAGACAAGCCCAGAGAGGACTACTGTGATCATCTAATCTGACCTGCATAACAAAGGCCATAAAACTTCCCTGAATTAATTCCTATTTGCATGTGAGCCTATCTTTTAGAAAAACATCCGATCTTGATTTAAAAAGTACTAGTGATAGAGAATCTAACCCTTGCCAAATTACCAATGGTTAGTTACCCTTATAGTTAAAAAGGGACACCTTATTTCCAGTCTGAATTTGTATGAGCTCCTCGGCAGTGAATTTACTGGTTCAGGTTAACTACATAGATGAAAGTAAAATACATACCTTCTAAAGTACTAAAGAGACTGCTCTTTAGTGCCACTGGTGTTCCTTTGTTGAGTGTCTTCACTATACCCTTCACTATTTTGTACACCACCTATTCTCTCTCTTCAGGCTAAAGAACGTCAACAATCTGACTTCATATGTAAATCCTGCGTACCTCTAAACATTTTTGTTGCCCTTCAAGACTTTGACGGTCTCTGCTACTGTAAATTATTGTCTAGGTGAGCTGATCAAAGCTGAACACTGTACATAATAGAATATCAAAGTGACACAATGGCCAAGAATTATGGGGTTTTGTGTGCTTAACCTGATCTATTACATTATCGTAAAAATAATTCACGGGCAGTTGACCGCTTCTTACTCTCACTTCATGCATGTAGGTCCCTTCAGCAGGATATCCATCTGTTTTAATTTTTCAGATTTTAAAACTTTACCCTACTGCACCCCCCAAAAAATTAAATTAAAATTTATTTTCATTAAGGTTAATAGATGATTTAGAAGATGGGTGGTTTGATGGATAAAACACTGGCCTTTCAAGCAGAGTTTAAATCTAGCCTTCAGCTCTCAGTCACATTAAACTGACAGGTTCAGCTTCGTTTTCAGATGTGTGGGTATGTTCCTGGACACTGGGTAGAGCATGACTATTAATCTTGAAATTTTGAACACATTTAATAGTGAACGTAATCTTTATGCTGTCTATTTATTATAAACACAAAGACATCACAATACTGTACTGCCTTGTCTGATGTTAACACAGAGATGTGCATGGTGCTTTAAAGACACAGAAAGACAAATCCCTGCCCTGTGCATCTTACAATCTAAGGGAAGCAAGGCATAGGGAGACAGGATGTAGTCAAGGAAGTGGAAAAGCAAGGAACAGTGTTCCACAACAGAAAGCCAAGAAATCATCTGTTTAACATACGCACCACAGTATTTGATGGAGGGATATGAAGGAGGAAAGTAGCCTGAATGATGTGGATGAGAGAGGTCATTCCAGGTATACAGGGCAGTTATGTAAGGAAGCACGGCAGTAAATGTAGGAGGACGTAAACTGAAGGTGAAGGCAGAGGGAAGGCCCTGACGTTGATAGCAGTAGGAAATAAAAGACTAGGGTTAGTGCTCAGCACTTTCTGACAATTGGAACCCCTATAGGGTGCCTCGAGTTGAGTATCCAAAAAATGGAGACCTCCAAAATTGCTAGTCACTTTTGAAAATCTTGGCCTAGAAGAATGCAGGAGCAGAGCTGTGTACAGCCTTGAAGTGTTCAGCTTCTGGCCTTGACAAATGTTATATTGCCCTACTTATACCATACATTTACTGACTCACAAATCATACAATTTATTACTGTCTGGATCCCTGCTTTATGAAGCTCCCCAACCTGTTTATTATAATTTCTAACTTTTCTACGTCTCTCAGGCAGTTAGCTTACTACTTTTACCCTCAAATCCATTCACCACTTCTATTTTCAATCTCCCCATATATTATATTACAGACACAAAGTACAGACACTTTTGCTTCTCTTTGATGGCTATAACCATTCTGAAAGTGTGACGTGCCACCACAACAAGGTCAAGGGGCTTGAAAGTCAACCATGTTTTAGTTCTGGATATGGCTCACAGACAGGGCCCCGGCTCCAGCATTTTTGCCGCCCCAAGCAAAAAAAAAAAGCCACGACTGGCGGCGGCAGTTCAGCAGCAGGTCCTTCGCTCCTAGAGGGAGTGAGGGACCTGCCGCCTCCGAATTGCTGCAGGTGCCGCCCCTCTCCCTTGGCCGCCCCAAGCACCTGCTCACAGACAACACTGGTCAATTAGAGCCTGTTTGAGGTAATCAGATGTCCATGCAGATTCTTTGAGATCTCTCAGTTGCCTTTGATACCAGTGACCACAAGGCTGTAGTTCTTGGCAGGCATAGAGTGGCTTGAGTGGCTCCATTCTTTTATCTCTGAAAGAATCCACATGGTAGCACTGCCCCAAGAATCTCTCTTTTGGAGGGTACCACTGGGCTCCTCCTGTTCAACATGCTTGTGAGACAATCAGAATATATAGTGACACAATCTGAGGCTGCAGTGCTTTCAATTTGCAGATGACAATAGCTCTATAATTGTGTGATATCATAACTGTTGAAATAGTCTCAGTTGCTTAAACTACTAACTCCTGGATTTAAAAGGGAGGGGAATGGGTAATAAGGCACTCAGATAGTATGGTAATAGGCATAATATAAGCTAGATTGGAAATGCCCTCTGCAATCAGAGAATCCACCTCAGTTTTGGAACCTGCTTCCTCACACTGGTTCATCAAAACCTGAATTTGTTAAGCTCATATATTCTCCTGCCACCCCTGCCATTCCCCATGTTTTTCTGGAATTGTGGACGGAGTGAGTTTTATCTGGATAGCTGGAGAGTTCGGATTGGTTTGTGTCCTAATTTGTATGTTTTATTATATAATTCTTCTACATGCACCCAGAACTCTGGATGGTCATAGTTGTAAAAAGCTTTTTTTCTTGGTGCAGTCGACTATATCCAAGAGGTGACATGATTTGCCATTAGTAGAAGAGGTCTGCTGCTGTACATTCTTTTATCAGTTCCTGCTGGCTCATTTTCAGAGCATTCATAAGGATTTAGAGCTGGTATAAGATTTCACAAAAATCACTAATATTATTTAGTTATTTATTAGTGAGTATAAAATCGACAACACAAAACAGGGTAAATAAAAGCTGGTGACACCCACTAACAATGAAGTGGTGGTGTTAGAGCCAGAGCCTACTCTGTTCAAGTGTTACATTATATAAACAAATATATACATTTATATAGCCAGTTTCATAAAATAGTATGCAAGAGGCAGATTATTCCTCGGTTAATATACTATAGATACAGAATCTTTTGGGGATCTGAGAGACTGAGGTTTAGTGCTTTGAAGAGCAGAGAGAACTCAAAACTTTTCTCTCTGCAAAAGTGTTGATCAGAGTTTGAGCAAGTCTTCTTTGTTTGAGCAAGTGTTCTTTGTTCTTTACTTGCTTAAAATAAAGTCAGTATCTTTTACACTAACAATATATCCTCACACTAACAATATCCTGATTCTTTATGATTATCCAAGAACCTCAGCAAAAGGCAAGAGATTTTTGCAATACTCTTCTGAGGGAGTCGAGAGGAATGAATTAGTTTTCCAAACCCACACCTTACCTTTTCTCTTAAGAGCCAATTCAATGTCCTATCAATTCCCAACATCTCTTCAGTCTGTGTCATTTTAGGAATAGTATTAATAGCTTGATTTCTATAACACTTTATATTCAAATTCCTTATCAGTCATTAATTCTCACAGCTACCTTTATGATAGCTATATATTGTCCTCCCTACGTTACAGATGGAGAAACTGAAGCAGAATAATGAAGTAACATGCCCAAGACCAGAGGGAATCAGGATCAGAGCTGATGTTAGAAATATGGCTTCCTGAGTCCAAGCCCCAGGATGAAACTATCACTGAACCACACCTCTCTCAATTGTCTGATATACAAAGAGCGGTAAATAAGATTAAGAAGTACTAATCCTTTGTGATAATTATAGGTGGTGATCAATACCTACAGCTTTAAGAATAATTCAATAGATCTGAAGGCAGTGAAAATCTGCATCCCAGAGAAAAGTACAGAAGAAAGCAACTACTTTCCTAACCTCTGGAATCTCTCATCCTCTTTTTCCCCTCAAGTGGAGCCATCTGCAGTCTTTTATCAAGATATCTACCTGCTTAGGCCTCATATCAGCCTCCCACCAATCTACAACCTTTACGATTGGAAACAC